CAAAGGATATTCTTTTTAAAAATCTCCTCGTCTGGCTCTACAACTATATATACTTATATATATTCTAGAATAATAGTCATTAACAATATCAGTGTTTTCAAATACTATCGATTTGTTAATTAAGATCAATAGAATTACAGTTCAAGAAAGACGCTTAAGTTATAATAAACACAAAAATGTAATAGTACATAGAAAATCAAGGGAATTTCCATGACAAATTGAGGATCATCAGAACTTTGTTGTCTAAGGTAAGGACAGTGTCTGAACCAGCCAACTTCTCTTGGATACATAATTTAAGTTTCTTAATGTGGATCCCAACAGCCAGCCTAAGCAATATGTAGTAGACGAACTCCTAAAGTGAGGTTAAGATTAGTTGGTATGCAGTAATTGACTTTGAAAGCCACCTCGTTGACATCAATCTTATGTTCTGTATCCACAACATAAGATGGAATAGAGCCATGAATGGATTTTGTTTTTCTTTTACTTAGCAAGGCAGGATGGTGTGCTCTGAAATCCGACCATAATTTTTGCGATATTATCTTATCATAGTTATCACCTTGTTGCATAATGTAGCATTTGCTTATCATTCTTATTATTTCTACATACCTCTGAGATTTATACATTTTTTTAATAATAATAATAATAATTTGCTTTATTCCAGAAACAGTACTAGTGGTACATTGTGGCATTTTCAGCGCATATCTACAATATTTGCATCTAATTTTATCAAACATTTAAAAGAGGTATTTCAAAAAAAATAAATATAAAGACACGAAGAGAAAAAAACAGGAAAAACACAAAATAATTTTTAAAAAATGCGAAAAAAAATACCAAGAAGTAGAAAGGAAAATAAACAGCACTTAATAATAACTCAGTATTGGGTAGTGGGAGCTATGATATGATTATACATGGTGACAGTAAAGCTATAGTCATGTAAGAAGTTATGAAATGATATTTAAGAATGTTTATTGCCAAGATGATCAGTTAATTTGGTTGAAACAACACTAAACAATCATAAAATAACATTTCAGGGTTGTTTTTTTGTTTTCTGTTGTCAGGTCTAATGCAGTTTTGTAGTAGTAGTGTGAGTAATCCTGCATAATACAAAATTTTAAGGTGGTGACAATGGCGTTCACAACCAATGATTATCAGTTAATATTGCCGAAAAAAATAAAAAATAAGAAAAAACAACCACAAAACTAATAATTACATGATGGTTAATGACAGGAAAATTTTGTACTACTCAAAGAGCTAATATAGTCGGAACCAGTAGATACACAAAAGAAGGAAATACAGTAAAGTACAAAAAGTAAGCCAATGTTAATAATTTAGGTAGCTAAGTATGTTTGAGAAGGAGTAAACTATAGAATACAAAATAAGAGAGAAATAAAAGAGCCTGAAATTATGATATTTAACAACAAAGCAAGTCATAAGTTTCACGCTTAACATTGTCTCTGTCGCTTAGAAAACGGGCCAAGTATGGTATCGTTGAGTTCCTGTACTTGGTTGTACGAGCATAAATTATTTTATACTGATTTCTGGTTCTACCTGATGAGAGTTGGGAATAGAGGGGGTGTTGGGGGTCTGAGAGTATGGTTTTAGACCATTTTTCGCATGTATTCAGATGCCTGTCAACTAATGCAGTGACGAGCTGACTGCGGTTTACACCACTAGTCCTACTAACTACCTTCAACATCCTTCTCAGGATGGTATTTTTATAAACCGAACAATCATTTACTTTTTATCACAATTCATATTGTTATTAAAAAACCCTATATATATATATATATATATATAACGGTTGTACAGCCTGATGATAAATTCGTTGGAAAGAGAATCTTTGCTGAATCACTTGTTTTTACTTTCTACATGACCTATATACTCACTCATTTTCGTAGTCCCCTGTTGACTGACATCATGTTACTTTTCTCTGTATACAGACTAAATAAAAATGTTTTTAGGCAGTACACAAGCTGACAAGGCGTTGACCAAATAAACTAACATCATGTTATTCTGTTCAAACCGTTGTTTTTGTCTTATTCAAAAGGTTATTCAAAGAAAGCTTGAACATGTTATGTCTAAAATAACACAGTTGTGGTAGAAAATGTGTTAACAAAAGCTTGAATTTCGACCTGACTGACAATTTCCTTTGATAAAAAGAAATTTTATAACGAACACTATGAAACACAGTGAACCGGTAGGCTTTTCAATTTAGCAAAGATTTGTCATTTCCTAAAAAAAAATCATTGTTTCATTATTACTGTCTGCAAACGAATACATTTTCTAAGATTGCTGTCCATTAACAGTTCTTAAATATGTGACCATATCGAACTCAGACTGCAACCGACTCTCTCTGTTCTGATTAGTATGGGATACAATTGCATATACTACTTGGCCTTTAAAAAGTAGAATTTCAGATGCTGTTCAAAGTTTCCACATTCTACTTCTTTGTGGGAATTCTCAATATCATGAATTATTTATCATTACGGTAAATAAACTGATGATTCTTCCGACTTTTATTTGGAATATTTAATAACTTCTGTTAACCTTTAGATCACCTATAATGCTTGGCTGACTTTGTATAAATCGTTGCCTTTCCTCAAGCATATACATTAACTTGAAAGTTTTAGACTTATATATATCACCAAATATCTCCAAAAGAATTACTCCTTCTGGTTCCAGGTCATATAAAGCTAAACAAAGAGAATGGATTTTCAGGTCGTATGCAAAAATAAAAAATGGCAACCAGTAGTGAAATCAGTTTTGTCAGTGAAAAACATTCTTATTCACATTCATGACAGTCAAAAGATAGATTATGCTTCAATGAACTTAACATAGAATATAGACTAACTGCGTAATAATCTGCTATAGAATAGAAGAAGGGGAAAACAAATTTACAAAAGTTTGCATGAAACAATTATTTTGTTTCTTCAAGATGTAGAATAAAATGTGATTGGTGGATCAAAATCGATAGGAAATTCAAAGAGAGTTGAATTAGGAATGAGAAAATGGAGTTGATTAATCTTGTAAGTTAAAATATGAAAATGAATATCCATCATCAACTATATTTCAAACGTCTTGATCATTCCTGATTACATAATTAAGATCAGAATTCATGTGAAGTGTAGCTCCCCTAACATCCATTGTATCAGTCTCCCAGACCATGGCGTGTCACTCCTGATAGTTTATGGATTTGTAAATAAATCAAGAAATAAATTACACATATGGCATAGTAAGTATTCTGTCCCCTTACAACTTACCGTTTTAAGTTATAATGCACTTTTTATCCAACATATCTAGATGCAGACTCTTGGTACATTTTATGAGTTACTGCGCTTACGTTAAAGCACTTTTTAATTAAACCTCTCCTAGTTTACTAACCGTTCCTAAGCCTGGAAAAGAGGGAAGGTTGTGCTTGGGGCTATCGATCCTACCCCGGAAAATCAGTCCAGTCGCTACAGAAACTTCGAAGCACGAGGAAAATATAAGAACAAACTTATTTTTTCGCTAGCATCGGAGGAAAAGAACGACTTGGGATGGTGAAAAACTTCGGAAAGCAAGTCACCCGATGTGTCGACCTTAGATAAAAGCAAAAGTAAGCATTGAGAGGTATGATGTTCTCCCGATGTGCAAAGCTAAGAATGGTGCTCAAGCTGCCAAACAAAATGAGAAGATATGCAATAGAAGGACTATGAATTTGTTAGGGCAGCTGGAACGTGAGTGAGCTTTCCAAGTTGTTAAATGGAGAGTCAGTAATCCACTCCAGCCACCCAGATGACAACCACGAGCCGAATGAGGCAGTGAGAAGCTATCGTGATGTCACCAATAGCAAGCAGACAAAAATACAATGCAGTGGGAACCAATTTCATCCCGGATTATGACAGCAAGATTCAACTCGAAGGGAAGTAAAGCCAGAATCATCCAATACTACGCCTGCTACATACAACTCAGAACATGAGAAGAAGGAAGATTTCTATAGACAACTGCAAACAGTAATGGACAACATCTCGAATAGCAACGTCAAACTTCAGATGGCCCGTATGAATGCTAAACTCGGAGAAGACAATATCAGAACAGAACTCATTATGGGTCGAGAGGCTCTCGGAGAAATGAATGAGAACGGAGATTTCTTCACAGATTTCTACGCCTTCAGTGATTTGTTGATTGGAGGCGGTGTGTACAAGCACAAGGGTATATACAAGGCGACATGGATTTCACACGATGTACACACTATATAAATAATCTGAAGAAATCGGGGATACAGTCTGTAGCACACAAGACCTTGAAAGGGAGCAGACGTGAGCTAGTGCAAAGAATTTTCAAAGTCAACCTGAAACCTTCAAAGCAACTAGAGTCTAACATCCAGAAACTGAGGTGCGAAAGTACAAGGGATACATTAAATGAAGCCATGAGGAAAAAGTCAGAGGCATTACGTAGCACCACCGAGGAAATCTGTGTTCAAGAACATCATAACTCTCTGAAGGTGGTGTTTAGAGAAATGTGTATAGCTATTTTAGGAGGAAAGAAAAGGCAAGACAAGGAAGGGCTCTCTACGGACACCTAGAAGCTAATAGAAGACAAGAGGATAGTGAGATAGAAGATGAACGTAAGCAAAGATGGATAACAGATGGAGAAGCTTAGTTCAGTGTAAATTGCACTGAACTGAGAAGTAAAGACTGCTATGAAAGGCAAAGGACAATTCTAAGACACACTGGTTTCAAATGAATTAGTAAAAAAGAACTGTGGAAACGAATCTATTTCCCAGCAAATATGGCGATGAAAATGCTCAAGGGTAACATGGAGGAGGTCGTGCGAGGAGGGGCTGAGGACTTATGGGCAATCTTGGGGCCAGCTAAAGAGGATTGATGGAGAAGTGGAAAAATGGATATGTGCTGTTGAAGCCCTAGGAATCACTTGGCACCTTTGGAACCTTTTAACTAACCTTAGACACTTTACTGAAGTAAGCATTATGAATAGCACAGCTGACACCATGACACATCTAGTGAATTACTTCTTAGTGCGATTCTGCTGAACATCCCGTTGGTCCTTGATTTTCAATAAAAAAACAAGCAATTTATGACGTAACAAAAATTACATTTTATTTTGGCTTTTTCTTAATAAATACAGTCACGCGGTCTGATCACACATAATACAAACCGTTGACAGGTAAATAACAAAAACATATTGATTAGAGGAAATAAATTATACACGTAAGTGTAAGTTACTCTTGACCAACAGTGAAATAAGTTTCGCATGATGATCCCAATTTCCAAAGGATAAATCTGAAGTTTGCGAAAAACTCTAAAATGAATTGAGTCCTAAGGTAATATAGAATGATAAACCTGTGAATTTATTATTTGTGTCGAATAAAAATAGGTCATTAGAAGCCAAAGGAATTTATCGTGAGAAGTATTTATTGAAGTATCCATTTCTCTAAGGCAAGTCGAGGAATTGTGAACCATACAGATGACTGCCACTTTTTTCAGTTGCTGGATACCTAAGTGGGAAAAAAAATAAAAACATGGGGCAATGCATTCAGCAATCGACAAAGAAATTATTAGGGCGAAACACAACAAAAGGAAATCAAGCAAATGTTTCCCTCTGTGGTGATGAGGATATCTTCAGATCATGATACGGATATGATTTTGTTCTTTTATCATGGTATTTTATTTATAACAGTTATAACGATATCTGATTATGGCAGAGGGGCATTCCATACTATCCTCAGTGCATGAAAGCTGTTTAATCAGAAGACTACAAGTGTAAAGTCACGTCTGCTGCAGAGAAATCCATAAATAGCAAGGCTACCACGAAAAATAAACACATACCTTCAAAATTATTAAATATTGGAAGCAAATAATGATACTTTCATTGAAGAGGCAATTAGAAATTATTTTTCCTCGAAGCCTTTCACGCTATTTTTATGTTTATAAGCAGACAGAAGTGGACGATATCGTTCTAAAGATAGCTGAAAATTGAATCACTGAATAAATAAAGTTTACTTATTCAAGACAAGGATTCACTGACAATCTCTTATATTATGCTCAGTTCTTAACGTAACAAAACTGGACAGAACAATCAATGATAAGTGTAAACTAGTGGCATTAACCACGTGGATCTTTTAGTGTTGTTGCACTGAAGTTGTCTTCTAAAATGATACAAGTGTTAGTCCGTCAGGTAAAGAGTAAAGATTACTGTGAATGAACTACCTAATTGGAATCTATTAGGCAGCTTAAACTTCACTGGATTCATTCTATGTATCTAGTCAAACAATTTAGAAAAATATCTACAGACAGAAATCTACAGACAAACAGATGGCGTAGCAATGGGCTCGCCACTCGGACCATTCCTAGCCGACTGTTTTATGGCCAGCCTCGAAAACAACCCCTTATCATCAACTATCGACGACCTACATCTCTACAAGAGATACATTGATGATACTCTCATCATTTGTGATGAGAAGCTGGACCTCGAAAAATTACTTCAAACCTTCAACAATGCCCACCCAAACATCGACTTTACACTTGAAACCGAATCCGACGGAATGTTCCCCTTCCTGGACGTCCATCTGACAAGAAATGAAAACGACTCTTTGAAAAGGTCCATATACAAAAAGCCTACATGGACTGGACAATTCATCAACTTTCAAAGCTTCGTGCCGCTAAGCAGAAAGAGGAACCTGATACACGCTCTTTCCTCGAGGATTCGGAAGATATGCAGTGAGGAAGTGATCGAAGAAGAACTGCGTAATCTCCGAAAAACCCTGATGGAAAACGGTTTCCCGCCCAGGTTCATAGACAAGAATCTCAAACCGAAGAAGACTTCAGAACAAGTCCAATCCGTCCCAAAGAAAATACTTCTGCTCAATCTAGAATTCAAAGGTGATATCGAAGCAGAAATCCTTCGCAAACGCCTCTCCAAATCGCTGAGGAAAACATACTTCGCCGCAAGCCTACGACTGACGTTTTCCTGCAAGAAACTATTCAACCAGAACGCGAAAGACAAGCTGTCGCATTGGGCCACCTCAACATGCATATACCAGTTCACTTGCTCTTGTGGAGCTGAGTACATCGGCCGTACCATGCGCCAACTTGGAAAACGCGCTCGTGAACACTACCCAGCCTGGCTGGTAAAAGGAGAGCAAAAGCGTGTAAACAGTTCAGTGACAGAACATCTGGTCAACTCGGGACATTCAGCGCCTTTCGAAAAGTCCTTCAAAGTAATATACAAGATTCAACCAAACCTATCAAAGGGAGTGAAATCAAGACATTTGGGCATAGCTGAGGCGTTAGCTATCCAAAAACTCAAACCCACCCTTTGTATCCAAAAGAAATACATTTAACCCCTGTCCCTGCCATGGCCATCGTAAACAGGTAAATTTTTTAATAATGACCATCCCATCGTCTTTCTTATCTAAACTTCCTGTTTATTCATGTTATTTTAAGTTTTCTTAATCCCTGTCTACACTACCATATTTTCATATCCACACCTCCTGTTTATTTTGTCATTTTATTATCTCTACATATTTAATCCCTGATTGCATAAACAATTATTCATCACACTAGTTTCTTATCCAAACATCCTGTATATTTTGTTATTTTTACATTTCTAACCCCAATTGCAAAATGTCAATTTTCTTAGTTATTATGCTACTTTGTTTTAGAACAAGACATATAAGCGAACAATATTGTTTTCAATTAGATCTTCTTCAGGCTTTACTCTAATTTACATAGATTTATATATAAAATTTTAACCAATGACGGTGATTTTGGGAATCAAATAATAATCTTAATAGTCTTAATAATAGTAATAATAATAGTCTTAATAATAATAATAATAACAATAATAATAATGTGGTAAATGTTTTGAACGTAGTTAATAACGATGATTATAATGATAACAAAATATTGATAATAAGGTTTATGCAGGTGATAAGAATAACAAAGATAGTATATGTATATAAGTGTATAAATAAATTGGGTCAAATCTTAAAAGGTGAAGTGGAACGATAATCAGAGTTTAAATAAATATTATAAAAGTACAAAGGAGGTAGAAAATAAGAAAGGGTGGGAGGGTTTTGAATACAGTTCACCTAGGCCAAGGGAGAGACAAAGGTAGAACAAACTTCTTTTGTATGCAAAGACTAGGATTGTTCTCTCGAATTCCCATAGCTTCGGCTAGGTGTAAAAGACGGTTTCTGATTCCATTCGAAAGACTCGATGGAATACGATAGATAACTTTGAAAGCACTATTTTTGTCCACTTGGTGACCGCTATCAATCAAATGAGCCAAAATAGAACTTCGTATGGATTTTATTTGACCTTTTCCGAACCATGAAGGAAGATGCTCATTAATGCGTTTGTTCAGCTGTCTAGTTGTTCGCCCTATATAGCTTTCTCCACAGGAGCAACTAAATTTATAAATACACATCGAAGTGGCACAACTAGGTAGCTTATCTTTCACTTGAGCAATCAAAATTGGTCGGCTGGAAAATGACAAACAAAGGGTGGCGGCAGTATAAGTCCGTTTTATCGCTCTCGATAATCTCAGATGTAAGACTTCACTTTGTTTTAGTTTTACCCATCCCCCATGTTTATTATGGCATTCTAATTCCTAATTATAATTTTTATTAAAACAATTATTCATCACACTAGTTTCTTATCCAAACATCCTGTATATTTTGTTATTTTTTACATTTCTAACCCCAATTGCACAATGTCAATTTTCTTAGTTTTAGTTTTACCCATCCCCCTGTTTATTATGGCATTCTAATTCCTAATTGTAATTTTTATTCAACCCCTAACCAGAAATTGTTCTGGAACTTTCCCATCCATTTGATATAAATACACGAATGTACAGCCTAGATGATGACTTCGTCGAAAAGAAAATTTTCTTCGCTGCAACTGTCTTTTTATTCCCTATGATCAAATATCTAAGTTTTGAGAGAGGGGTGAAAATTAATTCAAAAATTCAAGATAAGTTGGAGGATTTCATCATGAGCTGACTTCAGTTAGGGAACCATTCAAAAACCTGAGAGTACTGCCAGACAGCTGTTTCGTCCTAGTTTCGAACTCTTCAGCACTACGCACCCACCACAGTAGGTTCGAACCCAGGACCTTCTGGTTACAAGACCAGAGAGCCCATAGGCCATTGAGCCACTGTGACTTGCCAAATCAATAGCCAGCCCATGAATTCTAACTTCTGCCAATTCATGACATAGCGCGACCACTTCAAAATGTCTTCTTTGATGAGTTACTACCTCACCGTCAACCTGACGTACCCTACTGGTTATGGCTTCCCGCTAACACCCCAGTTTTACTGCCTACTGAAGAGTCCCAAACTAGGATGAAACAACTGTCCAGTACCCTTTGAAGGTTTTCCAATGTTACTCTAACTGATGTCAGCTCATGATGAAATCCTCCAACCAATCAAACTAAATCCCTACAAAAACCACTACTTGAAAATTCAAGATAAGTTGAATCTTAGGCGTTAGCAACATGTTATTACGTAATACAGAAATTGGTAAAACAGCGATGATGACTAAGAAGAATAGGATGACTCAGAAAAATTATGTAAAGTACAAACAAGTTAACAAAGTCAAAAGACAGTTACAAGGGGAGGGGTAAAAAATCGTCTTTAAGAACCTGATACATGTTATATAGTTGGCTATAAGGGAAAAGAAATGGGCTGTACAAATTCCTCTTGAACACACAGATTTGGCTTGTTCAGATGAGTTCCGATCGCCTCTGCTGTATGTAAAAGTCGTACTCGTAGACCGTGAGAGAGGTTGGGTGACTTATGATATATAACTCTAAAAGCTTTGTTGAAACGACTTAGTATATCATAATTCACCCAACCTCTCTCACGGTCTACGAGTACGACTTTTACATACAGCAGAGGCGATCGGAACTCATCTGAACAAGCCAAATCTGTGTGTTCAAGAGGAATTTGTACAGCCCATTTCTTTTCCCTTATAGCCAACTATATAATATGTATCAGGTTCTTAAAAACGATTTTTTACCCCTCCCCTTGTAACTGTCTTTTGACTTTGTTAACTTGTTTGTACTTTACATAATTTTTCTGAGTCATCCTATTCTTCTTAGTCATCATTATTTTACAAATTTCTTGATTATGTAATAATTTGGAAACTATTTTTATTCATCTGTCCGTAAGGATTAAAAGTTTTACTAAAACGCAGTCTGATGAGTTTTCATGAATTACATTAAAACTCAACGTTTTGATGGAAATCATTCCTGTATTCATGGCTTCCCAGTATCTTCAAATTTCACTTTTCTGTATCTTTATTTTCTGCATATTCCAATGATATGGACTGTTGTTAATTGACAGGTAAATTCAAGAATTCACTCACAGAAATAAATATGCCTTTTTACACCGACTATACAAGGGAGAACGTCGTCTTGAGAGATCATCATATATTTGAAAAGCATTCAATAAATACACACTTACAGTTGTTAAATCAAAATTATCTAAAGCTAACAATAGAAACAAAAAGAAAATAAACTCACATGTTTCAGCACATCAACAACTTCTTGAACCATTTTGTCAACATTATCATTCACAATAACTGCATCAAATTTTCCTTCAGATATACCTATCAAAATTACACAAAACTTTAAATTATTACGTGGCAAAACTTATGCAAATGACTGCTAAAGTGAATCGTACTTCAGATGGACTGGAGTTTAATTTTTGATGGCACTTAAGTTGCTCTAGTCGTTAGGTGAATGATAAATACGATTTCTATGCATTCTACTTCATGTCTGTCAAAATATTACCTTACAGAATTGGATCTCAAAAAATTTCGCATTAATACGTGATGTGAGTAGGATTGAAGAAGATACTATGGTGTATTATCAGACATAACAAGTGTAATTTGCTGGAAGACTTATTTTAGAAAAGTATTTCCATAACCCACAAGAAAAGCGTTTGATCTTCAGTTCATATTGAAAGTAAACATCACTTCAATCAGTGAGTTTGCAAAAGGATTTTGACGGAATTTATAATCGACGTGAAAGTTCTGCATAAGCATTTTGAGTTCTGCTGAAAATAGTTTCTAGGGAGAGGTTCGCCAGAAAGTAATAAGAATTCAGCATATGTGTCATACTCGTCACCCAAGTTAAAATGAAGACTTGGAAACTTCAATGCAGTGGCCAATATATGTGTCCCTTATGTTGTTGGTTTTTTAATCCTCATCTAGACATTTAGAAAACAGAAAGACTGAGCGAAGAAATATTTACTTTTCAATTAGATCCTCATCTCTGGCTCTACTCTAATATATATATATATATATATATATATATATATATATATATATATAGCATTTTTATTACAATACACAACAGTTTACCAAACAAGTGGTGATATGTTTGTTAACAATAATTAAACAGTGTCAATTGTACGCCCAATGTAGCTGGCTCCGCAGCTGCAGTCAAACTGGTAGATACACATAGAAGAGGCGAATTTAGGTAGTTTATCCTTATTTCTCGAACATAGAATAGGGGTGGTTGTGAAGAGACAACATACCTCTGCTGCTAGTTTGACTGCAGCTGCGGAGCCAGCTACATTGGGCGTACAATTAGGCAGGTTCATCGTCGTATTTCCGAACATTATCCAGCATGGTTAGGCAAGGGACAAACAAGATCTATTCGAAGTTCTATTTTAGCACACCTTGTTGATACTGAGCATAAGGTTGATGTGAATACTGCATTTAAAATTATTTATCGCATTCCGACTAATCTTAACTTTTCTCTACGAGTTCTTCTTCTACAGACAGCTGAAGCAATCGGAATCCACCAGAAGAAGCCAAGCCTATGTGTTCAGAAGAAATTTGTACAGCCACTTTCCTCACCGTGGCCATCCCTAGAAGAATGCATAAACAGAACTACGTCGCCCCCCTCCCCCTGAACTTTTAAAACTATAAAAATTATAATTCTCCAAATTATTTTATTTTTATTTATTTTGACCTCTTCATCTTTAATTACGTGTTATCCTTGTAAAATTAATTTATTCTATCCATTTCTACTTTTTAAATTTGTATTGATTTTCTTCGTTAATTATCAACCCATTGACACTTTGACACTGTTTAATTCTTGTTAACAAACATATCGCCATTTGTTTGGTAAACTGTTGTGTATTGTAATAAAAATGCTATGTATATTAGAGTAGAGCCAGAGATGAGGATCTAATTGAAAAGTAAATATTTCTTCGCTCAGTCTTTCTGTTTTTTAATCCTCACTTTTGTGTAGCAGTCTAGGGATATTGCTTGAAATAAAGTCAGAAACTCTGATGAATTATTTAACGCTTGGAAATTGATAAAACAATTATCACAGCAATAGTCTTTCCTTCATATTCCTGCTACTTAAGCCACAGCATCTTAAACTTTGCATAGTTTCATGAAACTGTCAAATATCTCTTTCTCCTGTTTGCAAATAAAAGAATCTTTAACCTAGAGAAAGCCACATTACCGGCATTACTCATTTAACATTCTTTTGATTGCACACTAGTCAGTAACTAGTGTAATGTGTCTAGTCCTATCTTTGGTGCAGACTGAATTCTATCAGTCAAGTTTGCAACGTGGCCAGTATTCTGGGTAGTTCGTCATCACGGTGCACCTTGAACTGTTGATATTAGATTGTTGGAGGCATTCGGAAGGAAGTCTTGGACCTAGGTTTCGTGCTAGTTGGCACCAACAGTCAGCTAGGCGTAGCTGCAACCTCGAAGGAACTCATATCCCTCCTGAGATTTGAACCTGCGTCACCATCAAGATATTTGGGCTCGCGACTGACCTCGTTTAGGACTGTATTGGATACTTTGATTGGACACTAGTTAGCAACAGGTGTAATGTGTCTAGTCCCTAGTGTTGGTACAGACTTAATTCTGTCAGTCAAGTTTGCATTTTCATTTAGTTGACATATATCTGAAGCTCTTTCATTATGCTTTGTTGTAATAATTTACTGAATTCAAATACATAGTCTAAGTGTTTGCTTTCTCTAATTAGTAGTATGTTGCTTTATAGACGAATTATTCTATAAATCCTTGCACTGGAATATATTAGTAAATAGAAAGTTCGTACTACCATTTAGGTAAACAATACCACCTTCATTATAGAAATACACAGACAGAAACACTAACATACTTATAAATGTAATTAATATAATTTATGTACACTGATAACTTACCATACTGCATTTCCTGATGTGCAACTGCCAACCTCTGGAGAATTCTATCCTCACTTTCCGTAGAACGGGATCGTAGTCGTTTCTCCTGAAATTAAATCATCATACATGATAACTGTGAACAGTCAAACATTACTGATGACCATATTAATCCTGGAAACAGAATTTGCGTAGTCAAATATCAAATTTCGAAGAACAATACTCAGCTGACATCTGTTTCTAAATTTGTCATTTCTTAGTAGAGTATGCCTCGTGTAAACCAGTGAGAAGTAGACAGAACAAAACATCTGTTTTGTATTAGTGTGATACTACTTAGAAGTGGATCAAATCACGAGACAACTACACTGTAACTGTTTGAATCCACGAGGCTGCATTTATTTATGTTAGTGTAAGCTAAAAGTCAGTAAATCGACATAACAAATACCTCAGAACTTATACTTCTAGGACTGATACAATATTACACTCAGATCGAACAAAATTCTCCTTCTTAGTATTCATTATAGATTGTTCTTTCCAAGTGTAAACATCAATGAATTAAATCCAATCTTGTACACTTTTCTGCGAACACTTCTCAAGTACGTTTGAGAAAGCCTGTCAAAACCTCTAAAGGCTAAGAAAGTGTGATCATTGAATGAATACTACAAACAGAAACATGAAACAGGTACTTGAAGCTTATTAGCGATTTAAAATAAACCACAAAAGTTCAGACATTTTTGTTTTTCATCAATCTCTACTGAATTCCAAAGGTTACGATGATGTTGAACTGAGTTGGACACAAGTTTAATCCATTTTTAAATTAAATACTAAAATTCCAAATGAAATACTCAGAAAGGCAAGATTTCTACCAAATTATAAAATTTGGAAACCGTTGCAAACCAAGGAGTTCTGGATAGCTGTTTCATCCTAGTTTCTGAATCATCGACACCCACTGGGGTTCGAACCCAGGAACTGGGACCTGATTCAGTGGCCACCCCATTAATTCTAACTCCTACTAATTCGTGATTTAGCGCGACCACAGCCCACTGTCATCTGCTGGACATCCATCCTCACACTTAACTGGTTGGACTTCACTGGTCACGACTTCTTCCTAGAACTCCAGGAAACTCCTTCCTGTAGCAAGCCACTAGCGGGCATCAGATTAATTTCCAGAAAAACAGCAAAACAAATGTAATCCTTACAAACCAGCTCCTGAAAATATAAAGTTGGGATTTATTAGATGTACCAGTGAATGTTCAAGGAAATAATTTTGGAATCACCCAATAAATCACTTATAGAAATAAACTGTAAATCAGATGGGTTACAACGATAACACTGATGGGATAGTGACTGTACAGGCTCATAATCATACTGTTAACATGGTCGACCCATTTAAATAACAACGTAAAAGAAGTTTTCGTTAACAGTAGACCTTTTTGTAATGACAGTGAACAGTGCTTTGTAGCTGTCACTTTTGAAGCCTTGACCTCAGTTTCAATACTTCATTCCCCTAGTCAAAGTAAGGTATTTAACTGAGTTTTTCATTGTCGATGGGTAATCACAGGGATGACACGAAAGGCCAATCAACAACTGCTTTGATTTTTGTAATATTTTTAACTCACGGGCATAGACATCAAGGCTAAGCCAGAATTAAGAAGTTTTAGTCAATTTGTTCATTTGTCGTTCAAAAGTGTCATTTCTTGACTAAATTCATCATCTACTGAGAGCATCCTTCACTGCGAACCAAAAGATTTATTTGTTAATCAAAACTAAAAAAACCGCTCAGCTTAATATTTATGCTTACAAGTATAGCAAAGCTTCTTGGACGTATGAAAATACAAATTGGATTGATACTTGTTTTCTGTAATTTTTCAACTCCTTGTATATCAATATCCATTAAGCAGACACGTTTCTCCATTTCTGCTTTTCTCAGTTCTGATTTACTGATTCATTTCATAGTTCATAGGAAAAAACACATAAAACATAAAGTACAATACCATATAGCAGAATGAGAGCGTTTTAGGATAAAGTTTAAAAGACAATTAACTGATAATTCATGAGATATTAATTGAAAATAAACCCGAATTCAATAAATACAAAAAATTGGGTAACACAAATTTCTTAAAACTATCTGCATAGCACTGCCAGTCTGAAAGTCCGTAAAAAGAATTGTATTATATTCAGTGATTTTTTCTCGACAGTTTTTGTTGGAGATATTAGTTAACTCTGCCACTGGGAATGCCAGTAAACACCAATTCTGCGACAAAAAGCAGCAGTCTTGAATTGAATCAAGATACTGGGGCGTCCAGAGAAGACAGAATTTCACCTGAAGCATTAAGATTCAATTTAGAGATCGCAAGGAATATCCTTATGGCACTGTCGCAGAAAGTTTAAAAGGAAGGAAAAGTATATACTGATTAGAAGAAACAATACCTTGTCAAACTGCCAAAGAAGAGTGACTTATATCCCTTCCAGAACTATCGTGGAATCACCCTCTTGTCCACCGCTACGGAAATATTAAGTTGTGTCACACTGGAGCGACTAAAATTACACAGGATGCAGAACTCCGACCAGAACAATCTGGATTTAGAAAACCAGATCATGTTCCGGCCAAACCGCATTTCATCGCATCATTTTTGAACAGAGTATAGGATAGAAACCAAATCTCCATCTCAACTTAATTGACTTTGGAGATACCTTCGATAGAAACGTCATCGCAATGATTTGAAAACTACTTCAACACTACAGAGTGCCCCGAAGCATTATCACCATCATTCAACAGCTATATGATGCCAAGCGATTTACATCGGGAGGCTCAGTGATATCAATGAAATGAAAACAGGACTAGGATAGGCTACCTTATATCACATATGCTATTCCTCAATGTGATAGACTAGGTTATGCGACAGACAGTGTGGAGCGAGAATACAAGAATACACTGAATTGATAACAAGGCTCCAGAAGAGCTGGATTTCGCAGACGATTTATGGCTGACTTGATGATCGATGGGAAAAAACCAAGAAGCTGGCATTAGGAACAACAAAGACAGTACTTGAAGCAAACATCGAGATGTAAGTTATGTGGATACATAATCAACGACAAAATCAAGCACAAATTACTGTGAATGGGAGAAATCTAATGGAAGTCAGCTTTGCCAATTATCTTGGTGGCATCGTTCTAGATACAGACGCCACCAATAAGAATGTCAAAACTAGATTTAGAAAGGTAAGACGGACCTCCACTACTCAGCATAAGGAACAGTATTCAAACTCTCCAATTCATCACATATATTCAGTTAGCTCTTACATTTGGTTGAGGAAAGTGACAAGCGCGAAAACGGTGTTTAAGACGGACTGCAGACTTTTATTAACAGCTATTTTCATTCCATACTAAAGGTTAGAAAATCGGAATGGGTTAAAAAGAATGGAACCTGGCATCGGGGAAAATTAATCCAATCTTCCAAAGAATATGCTGAATGGAATGGAGATGGATCTAACACACTCTCAGGAGACAATTAAGTGGAACTGAAACGGGAAATAAGTTGAGCGTCCGAGAGTGACATGGAAAAAAATAGTGTCTGTAGGAGATGTGAGCTTATTGGTCATCATGGAGCCAGGTCACTACGACCGACAGAGAGTAGGACAAAATGGGTATATGCTTTTGAAATTCTATATTCTACTCAGAACCTAGGGAAATTATAATATTTCAACTATTTCATTTTCTTCACGAACCATCATCAGTTAGAGGGGTCACTGCAAACCAGGGATCAACGGACGGCGGTTTCGACGTATTCTGATGCCAGTGATCCTTCGTTTTCAGTGATGAAGTTGGTTTGTGATGCAAATCACAAATACTGTAATCTGAATTGTAGTATTACAAAAATAGATTAATCATCGGAGTTAATTATTTTTGGTTTGATAAACACCTCCATGGATATCCCTTACTGCATGGGTGTTTTCTATATAACATATAGTGGCTACATTTTAGAAAGTTGTCTGGTAAGTGATACTGTATAACTGTGTACTAAATTAAATGAAGTTACCTAATACGGTAATATAATCTAGCACAGGCATCTCGCTACAGTTTTCCACTTATAAATACCATTGCGGAAGTGCATTTAAAGTCGAATTCTATTAACTGGTTTGCAGAAGCAGGAAATTGATAGAAACTACCTAAAAAGCTTGAAAAGTCATTGACAGCGTGGAGTATGATCATTTTTATCCCTGTTATTCTTCGAATATTGAAATCTACCCAATTTCGAACTTCGCCTTTAACAAATTACAAGTGCATTATGAGGTAATAAAGTGCGTCACTTGAGACATTAGTTAGTGAAATGCTTCATATTTTAAGGAATCAAGTGCTCACATTTTTATGCATCACACTTATTCATAATGCTCTTCGCTTAGTTTACAAAAAATTCTTTAAACTCGTGGATTAAAATGAAAATAAGGCATAAAATTGAAGTAATACTTAAATACTGTGCACGTATTCGTCTTCTCTAATTCAAGTTACATGAAGGATGCATTCAAATCGCTTTTTGTGAAAAAAAGTTGAGAATTTTTATGTCACCATAAAATGTCAGAAATTAAGATATTTCCTGGGAATCTCAAAATGATGACAATCGTTAATCAAAGTTGAATGCAATGTTCTCCATCGTAAGCATTTAAACTTCTTTCCCAGGGTATTTACAAAAATGTTAGTCCCTGAGTCGTTCATTTATGTAAGTGGATTATAAATATAGACTGAGGCAAATTAAGGTTATCTAACAATGAGTAACATTCAGTGCTGTTGTGTCAGTTTAATTAAGGAAACACTCAGTGTATGAATCTCGTCGTAAGGATCTTATGGTAAAGATGTGCTAGCATTTGACCGCTTGTGACAAAAACTCACGATGCTGGAAACAATTCACTGTTGTGTACAAATAGTTTGAGCTTGTGAACACAATTGTCTATATCTTGACAACTATAGTATACTTTAACATTATACTAATAACAGAGAAATTGAAGAAGCTTTTAAAACAATTAGTTCCCTTCATGAATTTAGACAAAGCAATAAGAAGACGTAATTTGTCTGAATCGTGTAATGTATTTGCGCAACACATTTCCAACAATCTCATCACACACGGACTTGTCATAGCATATATATATGAATATAATTGAATTAAGTTTCGAGAAAATAGACTTAGGTCAAGTTACAAGGACATACTGAAGGTCAAAATAACAGTGAAGCTCACTAAACCAAATAAACCACAGAGCGGTAATAGTACATGCTATGGTATCAAAACAAGGTTCACCAAGGAAGGTTTAGTATAATGGCGAGTTGTTTTTGAATGCATAAAAGTGGATTAAACTTCCTAATTGCTAGGGCTTCCACAAACTTTAAGACGCGCCCCAAACACATTTTATAGATAGGTTTAAAAGGCGTGTAAACATCAATTTCATTTCCTGTCTCTACAATATGTTTCTCACTATTAATGGGTTCTAGGGATTCGTTTTGTGGAAGTTCTCGAAGTTGGGAAGTTTAAACCTTTATGTACATATATATATATATTGCTATGACAATTCCGTGTGTGATGAGATTGTTGGAAATGTGTTGCGCAAATACATTACACGATTCAAACAAATTACGTCTTCTTATTGCTCTGTCTAAAGAAGCTTTATTTAAATTCTTGTTAGAAGAATTCTTTAGGATTCACATTCTATCGAATTAACACTGAATATTTCTTGCATAAATCATAGAAATTTGAGAAAAAAGAGATTTTTCAATAAATTTTCGTTTCTGTTTCAAATTTTAACTTGTGAAGTATATTTCACAACGTTAGAGTGAGAAATGAGGACGGGAATCTCGTAGGCCTTATCCATATTCGAACTATGGTTCTTATCGTGTTTTTCTTTTCTTTAGTAAATGGATTGTAACAAACCTATCATACTTCGGTGGCATAGCGGTTAGGACTCTCGCCGACCATGCACACGGTCGGGGTTCAATCCCCTGCTGACGCACACCTGATATTAATGGTTGACCTGCAAAATTTGGGCTACCGATATCATATGATGAAAGTTCTATACTTGCACCAAAAAATACGGTGTGGAATCAAACTATAATCAGAAATATATAAAAATAAAATAACACCTACTACTGATAGAATGATCAGAATAGCCTTCAGTAATAATATTAAGTATCATTTGAATGTCGTTACTAATTTGATGTAATGGCGCATATTTCATTAACTCTTAATAATCTTAGTTAATTCCAGTGAAAATATTAGATTTTCTGCATAATATATCTTCAAAGTTAGTTATTTGTCACCAAATGTATACAAGCTAAAACAACAGTCAGTGTATTTATCTCCAATTCCAAACATACATTTTTGGGGCTACTTTGCTCTTCTCTTCAACAAAACCAATCATACAACCAGGCAGAAGAAAATCATGTTACTTGTTATTTCACAGTTCAGTTCAAAAATAATCTATAGATGTAACATTGGTCCTTTTTTTCAACCACTTAAGACTATCTGTGAATAGTGCGGCAAACTACCAACTGATAGATAAGATCAGTATGAAAAAGAATATTCTGGAGAAAAACCTCCTACTGTCTTTACCTTGTTCCATAGTAGTGTCCAGAAAACATAACATGTTCAATGAATTCATCTTTATTTACGGCGGCATCAAATTCTTTATTTGATATGAAGTAATAATCTGAAGTAAGAGAAAATTTGCATTTTTCATTTGTACATCATTATATAGAAAGTCTAACGCTAATATGATATTTTATCATCAAACGGAATGTGTTTATCAAATAACTTACTTTGAAACTAAGTCCACAGCTGTTTCAGTTTTACTGAGGGTCTACAGCTGTTGCTATAATAAACCTGTAGTCACATGGTATGTAAAGTACATCACTCTACTTGTTTCCATAAGTTGTTATTTTTATAAAATGTCCCAATCTAAGTTATTCTTCTTCAATGGGTTTCATGCTTGAAAATTAGTAAGTTCAAAAAACAGATTGTTCTGTGTAATATTGGTAGCTGTTATATGAGTACAGCTCCTTTTTAGCTATTATTAGACGAACAGATACATAGGTAAGATAACAGTTACTCGACTATGACACAGGCTGATGGTTGCGCGATATATATATATATTGAAACAATTAGTCCCTTTGATAAATATGAATGAGGCATTTAGAAGACAAATGTCGCGAGTGAAATGTTTGTCCTCAAGGGCCCGAAAAAGATGCACGAGTGACACATTGATGGATGAGCTTCGACACATACATTCAGTTTTATTAGCTAATGGTTATCCAGAAAACTTTATCAGTCGTCACAGTAAGGATAGACCACATCTAGAAAAGACAGCTTCTCTACCAAAGAAAGCTATCTTTATTAACCTACTATTTAAGGGTGACCAGATTATGGAGTTGACAGCTCAAAGACTTCGGTCGGTCATCAAACGCACATTCTACGCCGCATCTCATTCTCTAACATGCTGAACATTTTCGATCCCTATACCAACGATTAAAGGAAGAAATTCTGTGCACTCTATTTCGCAATGTATTTACAAGTTCACCTGCAGTTGCGGTGACACCTATATAGGTAGAACCAATAGAATGTTCCAATGTCGTCAAAAGGAGCATGTTCCAAAATGGTTATTAAAACATATAGAAAATCCCAATACAATTATTCTGAGTAGAAATCCAGCATCATCCATTGCAAAACACTTATTAATGTCAGGTCACAAAATCAGTATTAATGACTGTTTCACAATTATTTCACATAACTTTAATTCAAGGTTACTGAAGGTGATGGAAGCACTTTCGATTAATCACATGCATCCTAAACTATGTCTACAGAAAACAATAGACTTTAACCTTCGCCTACCATGAAGTACTTAGCCAATTTCAATATGATTGATTATTAGTTTGTACTTTTGTTTCATTTAAGTGAATAATTGTCATGCCTTTTATTTTAATACTGTGAACCACGCTAGTTGTAAAGCGATTGTAGAGAAACTACGAAATGATATCATCTCGCGAAATTTGTCTTCTAAATGCCTTATTCAAATATATATGTTTATATCGTGAATTGGCGGCAGTTTGAATTCATGGTCCATTGAACTGAATCTCAGTGGCTAAATGATCTGCCAGCTCCTATTGTAACTAGAAGGTCCCTAGTTCGAACCCCATTAGATACGTACACCTGAAGAGTCCCGAGGTAGGATGAGACAGTTGCCAAGTACTCCCTGGTCTTCCAATCGTTATCTGACTGGTGTCAAGCCGTGACCGAACCTGTAAGCAATCACAACCTGCAAACCAGCAAATGAAATCCTTTTCTTATCCAACTGATAGAAATAATTTTAGACTTTTTCAAACTGAATTTATCACAATTATTCGCTAATAAATTAGAATTGTTCAACAAATATTATAATTAAATCAAAAGGAAATTATTTTCCAATAGAAATTTTGAAGAAATTTGTTTATTTCCAACAGAATTCTCAAAATTTATTGTCTTCCAAACTTTTTCTCATTTATTCTCACAGAGTATTTCTATGTTTGACTTATTTTGATAAAATTTAGTCTTATCGCCTGAGTATATACTTCATGATTTATTGCAGAATGAGTTCAAAATCCAACCTGTGCAGGAAAATTACGAAAGTTCGTAGTGATCAGCAGCTGTGGTAATTCAAACCTATGGAATCACATCTACAATCAATTGAAATCCAAAGAATTGGAGACTAGATAATGCACTGAAAAACTACACTAGTTCAGTTCAAATAGTCACTCATCTAGCTGCTTTGATAGAATATGTTGTGTTGATTGCTCATACTGCTTCTTGTCTTTACTCAAAGCGACAGTTAAAAAGTGTACCTAGTGAGCTATGGTGATTGCATGTTCCCTTTGTATTTCCTTTTGATTTATTTCTAAACTGCAAGAACAGAATACTACTACCGATGTTCCACCTGTATTTAATTACAAGTTCACAAATTTTGCATTTTATCAACTGTATCATATTTATAATAATATACAATTTTAAAAAAAAAGTTAAAAGGCTTTTATATTTCTAACAATAGTAAATTACCTTTTCCGTGAACTTCATCTGGTCGTCTCGGTCGAGTGGTATCTGAAATTGTAAATCAATAATATTTGACTTACATTAGTGAAATGTTTTCACACATCAATGATTTATCATAAATAAGTTTTGGTGAATGCATTTAGCAAATTATCTCTCTATCACAGAAAGATTATCATAGATATCGAATTCTGTGAGCTATCTTAATGATTTTAAAACATCCCAAGTGATGTTATACCCTTACAGTTCACTTTCTAATCATAATAAAAGAAACTTTGAAGGATAAACAAAAAGAAATTAATGAGCAGTAATCTTTCTTTTTAAAACGTCGAATAAGTTGTAAAGGTAACTTAATAACAAGCCTTAAGTTTTCTAATTATGCGTCGGTGGTATAGTGGTTAGGACGCTCGCCGACCATGCACATGGTCCGGGGTTCGATCCCCAGCCGACACACTCCTTTACGTCGCTAAGCCAGAAATAATGCTGGTGAAGAGGGGAGGTTGGGCATGAGGCTAGCAACCCCATCCTGTAAAATAAACACTGCTACAGAAACTTCAAGTCACTTGCTTGAAGCCCTATGTTCCACTGGGGAATGTGAAGGAAAAAAAATAAGTTTTCTAATTGGAAGGCATTCAGCTGCCATTCATTTTTGTTACTTTTTTAGGTTAAAACATTTTGGGAAGCTTAAATGCATAAGGAGTAATTAGGAGGTGTGTATGAAATCTCCCTTAGTAACTGGCGAAATTACATAACGTGGTGTTAAGTGAATAAAAAGTGTTGGTGTCCCTTCAATTGGTAGACTCCATATCGAGATAATAAAAATTATTATACTATTTCTCAAGGTCACTAGTTGTTTTCTTCCTTAGATTACAGACGATGCAACGAATGTTACTGTTTAATGCAAGTGGGCAGTTAATTTTACTCCAGGTCATACTCAGAATTTAAGATCACCATATATGTGTTAGTTGAAAAAGGTATTTATATTAGCTATGCGTAAATTTACCAAGTGTGGTAGAAGTAAGAAACACTGATCCTGGCATAAACAAGATTAGAAGAAAATAAAAGGAGTTTGTTAACTACTTCTCGAAATTGGCGGCTTTCTTAAACCTTGGGGCACCAGAAACTCCCGACTGTCTATTGCATATATTTTCTCTTGTTCGCTTTGTTTTAATCGATTAGGAAATGATATCTAATGATTAATTTACTCTTGTGTGCATTTAAAATGTTTACAGCTAGTTGATTCATAAGTTCCTACATGAGAAAAGGCCTGATCGTGGGTGGCGTTCTGTCCCAAAAGATGAGATAACTGTTCCCGAGTTATGTCCTTGGGTCTCAAAATGTACCTCTGAGCATCTTGAAATTGGCTTTCAACCATATATCGTGGATCTCTTGAAAGAGACAAAGCAGAAATATCACAATGGGATGTTTTGTGCTTCAGCTCAGAGAGCATTGTGTCGCAAGATCTACTGTCAGTTATTATTTTATTTGAAGATATTGTACGAAAGGAAAGTATCGTGCAATGAACTCCTCTTAAAATTATATACATTTTATAAATACTGTCCAGAATAAAGATATTATTATTAGTTGGAGGATTTCATCATGAGCTGACATCAATTAGAGAACCATTGGAAAACCTGCAGGGAGTACTGAACATCTGTTTCCTCCTTGTTTTGGACACTTCATCAGTACGGACCCACCACCAGCGTCCTAACCCACGACATTCTGGTTACAAGATCATTAGACCACTGGGACTTGATCCATGACCAGCTCATGAATTCTTGCTTCTGCCAATTCATGACGTAGTGCAACCACTTCCCAATGGCTTCTTCAGTGAGTTACTGCCTCACCTTCAACCTGCTTTAGCCTACTTGTAACGGCTTCCCACTAGAACCCCAGGTCACTGCCTGAATAGGGCCAGTCGCTAATGAGCATCAGTTCCAAACTAGGACGAAGTAGCTGTCCAGTACTCCCTTCAGGTTTTCCAATGTCTCTCTAATTGATGTCAGCTCATGATGAATTCCTCCAACCAATCAAACAAAATCCTTTCAAAAACCAATACTTGAAAATATTATTACTAGTTCTGTAGTTTAATCTTTTTAACTATATATATTAATTGATGTTATTTTTGTCATATGTTCATCAACTAACTAGTATTCAAAGCTGACGAATGTTATTTTTCTTGACATAAATAGGATAGTAGAAGTTCGAAGTGAAGTGACTCAAAAGAAATAATTCTTGGCTGAACAATTTACTTTCCCTTTCCCACGAATAGATACATATATTTCGTTACTTGAAGTATTACAGGAGGATTAATTTCGAAAAAAGACAGATGGTACAGTGAATAAGATGGGCAAAAATCAACAAAAATAATACCGATGAGCTCAGAAATGACAATTTTCAAATTCTTTCTAACTTATGTGAAGTAGCTGATGTACATTTTAACTAATTAGTTTCTACTTCATAGCTAATTAATCTTATATACACAGTTTCAAGACTGTTCTATTTATTACTGCTACACATGGATCACAGTCGATAACAAAGTCCAGGGTCATTCATACAATTCCATTAACATAGAAATGTAAGCAAATCACCTTTCAGTCACCGATTTCGTCAAAATTCAAAGTCATTCGAAACACCACTGTTGCGTGGGTGGTGCGGAGGTGGAATGATCGGCAACTATGCAAGTGATCCGGTGTTCAATCCCTTGCTAACGCACTCCTATACTTCGCTTAGTCGGTGATATGCCCAGTAAAGAAGGAAGGATGAGAGCGAAAAAAAACTAACTGCCACTGAAAATTTAAAGCTCATGCTTGAAGCTCTGTGTATCACTTGGAACGCAAAGAAATAAAGTAAAAAAAAGCATCACTGATTATTAGAAGGTACTAGAAAACTATTTATTGTTATTTTTAGGTCAGGATGTAACATAGATAAACGAATGATATGTGCGTTTCACTGTATTTCCTAGTACTCGAGACTTTGATAACCATCACAACTCGATCTGCTAATACTAAACACTATATCTAAGCTTATTCTTCTGTATCATTGCTTAGTATAAAATGATCCCTTGTTTAGGATAATCTCGTTGGTACTGGACGTCAGGTAGACTCTAACAAAGGTTTTGAAGTTATATATCGTATATCACCCAACCTCCAGAATGGTCTACGAGTAATACTTGTACATACAGCAGAGGCAATCGGAATTCATCTGAACAAATCAAATCTGTGTGTTCAAAAGAAATTTGTGCAGCCCTTTTCTTTAACATGACCAACTACATGACATGTTTTAAGTTTTTAAAAACGATTTCTCCTCGCCCCCCTTGTAACTTTCTTTTGCCTTTGTTAACTTGTTTGTAATTTGCGTAATTCTTTTGAGTCATCATTATACTACAGATTTCTTGATCACGTAATAACGTGTCGCTAACACCTGAGAATCATCTCATTTTGGATTCCGTAAATCATTTTCAGCCGCCTTCTTTCAAAAGTTGGATATCTTGTTACTAACATCTACTAGTTGATTGTTTTGATGACCTTTAACCTCTTGATTTCATTGCCCCCCTCCCATAATACCTAAAACGGATCAACTAAAATAACCACTTAATTGGTTAAAAGAAGAAATTCAATGGACAAAACTATGTATTAGTGTAAAACCAGTTGACAATGAGGAACTAATTGTAAAGGAACACATTTCTTCACTCAGTCTGTTGTTTTTCTAAATGCCTAAATAGGAATTCGGAAACCCTAAATGAATACAAATTCTCACTGTACATTGCTAAGAAAGGATAAGGTTTATTAAAACAACTTACGTGAAACACAATAACGGAATGAATTTGGATATCTAGTGACAAGTGTCCGTATACAGGTACTTTTGCCACATCCAGAAGGACCGCATATTACAACAGGTCGTTTTAAGTCTAAACTGAGTTCACTCATAAGTTATTCCAGTTTTTTGTCTTCAACAAAATTTTTCTCTCCTAAAATAGGAAAGTTAGAGAATAGAATTAATTACAAGAGGAGACCAACTGCTCCAATTTACTTTATTATATATTATACCATTAGATATTAATTTTATAATAAGTAACCAACAAGCCAAGGAGTGATCTCTCTTTAAGACAAATAATGACCACCATACTGAATGCAGGTGCATCGGTGGAACAGCGTAGAGTGCTCGGTGACCACACAGGTGGTCCGGGGTTCGATCCCCGGACGACGCACTCCTTCACCTCATCAGTAGTAAGGGTGATAAAGAGGCGAGGCTGGGCATGAAGCTAGTAACCCCATCCTGTAAAAATTATCACCACTGCTACATAAACTCCAAACCTCTAGCTTTAAGCGCTATCTTCCACTTGGAACGTAAAAGAAATAAAAAATGACCAAATACAACTGTTAACATCAGAATATTTTGTATGAGAAAGAAGTCGTTCTTAGCCGAATCACAGTGCCGAGGAAGACCCTGTTTATGAGTTTGGTGGTCAATGGTGACACTATTTCTGAAGTCATTAAAAGTCGTTTATCTAAACGTATCTAGCGCTCTTTTTATGCATCTAACTTACATTTAGCATTCACCGGCCGTAATATGATTCCACAATTCACTAAGGATAAACTAACGCTTATGTTTACCTCTATGTGCATATCCTAGTTTGCATGCTCACGTGAAGCTGATAACATTGGACTTTGTAAGCGTGTTCTCTGTAAACACGTAGCTGAACACTACCCGGTTTAGTTAATGAAAGGTGAGCATAGGATGACGAAATCTTCAATCTGTGAATACCTTCCGGAATCAGGTCATTCAGCCTCACTTATGCATAGCCGAAGCTCTGGCTATACATGGATAGAAACCTAAATTATGTGCTCGAAAACGTTTTGTCAAACCCCTTTGTTTACCTTGGTCATAGTAATGTTCTTTTATTTTATTATATTTTGCAGCGAAGACAAAACTGCAGGTGAACATATAGAAGACGGAGGTGATGAAGATAACCAACCAACAGCAACAGTAACAACAACCAGCACTAATCATTCGGAGAGATTTGACAGAGGTTATTTCAATCACTTATCCGGATACGAAGCACGGTTTCAACCAGAGGCGACAGAATGGATGACGATATCAAAGGAAGCCAAAGTTGGAAAGGTAAGATCCGCCTTCATCGACCTGAAACCAATTTGGAAATCTTCTGCTTCAATCACTCAGCAGCATAAGGAACAAGATTGGCATTTTCAACACCAATGTGAAATCGGTCCTTCTATACGGGTCGGAAATTTGCACTGAAGACTTTCATCAACAGGTGCAACCTTAGCTCCATTCTCAAGATTAAATGTCCATAAAGAATTAGTAAAAAGGAAATCTGGGCACAAACCAACCAAGATCCGATCGCTCAAAAAATATGTATGAAAAAAATGGAGGTGAATCGGGCATGCAATGAGGTTACCGTCGAACAACATCGCTCACCAAGCCAGCCCTCGAACAGAATCTAAATAAGAAGCGACGAGTGGGTCGTCAGTGCGACGGTGACATGGAGAAGATTGTGTTTGGAAGAGGTGAGAGACTATGGGCAATCGTGGACCCAGCTGAATAGGATGGTAGAAAATAGAAGAAAGCGGAGATGTGTTGTTGAAGCCCTATGTTCCACTTGTAACACAAAAGAACAGTAATAATATAATCGAATTCACTACACTTCACTTCATCTTCGGTGTCTTTACTATTATCATCATCGTACTGTTAACTTTTAAGGACAACACTTGACCTACAAGTTTAACATCTTTATACCACTTGACTTCAGTAAACACCAGTCCTCCGACAAAATCAGTAGTCTTTAATAGAATCAAACTGCCGAGGTATCAGAGGCATACTAAATATCTCCTGATGCACTTAGATTCGATTCGAAAACCTCAGTGAATATCCTCAAACCACTATCGCAGAAAGTTTAAAAGGAAGGAAAAGTACCTTTTGACTGAAAGAAACAATACCTTGTCAAACTGCCAGGGAAGGGTGACTTAAACCTCTTCGAAAAATGGCGCGGAATCATTCTCATGTCCACCTCAAGTAAAATATTAAGTTTTGTCATACTAGAGGGACTAAAGATGCACAGGATTCAGACCTCTGACCTGGAACAAGATGGATCCAGGAATGGAAATCAAATCTCCATCTCGGCTTAATTGAATTTGGAGAGACTTTGGATAGTGCCGTCCGCTGAGTGCTTCAACTCTACCCCCTTAGTACATTATTTTAATTATCTTTATTCTTATCATATATACACTGACTGGGCAGTTTGTAGTACCATTTAATGCCTCCGTCCATAATATAAATACGACTATACAGCTTCAAAATAAAGTCGTTGAAAAAAGATATTTCTTCGCTGGACAAAAACTGTGTTTTCCTTATAACATACTACTGTAAAATACGGTAGGATCGTTGCTGTAAACACTTCTGCATCTCTCATTTTTATTATTTATTCATAACGGTGATATAAGCGGCAGAAAATGTTCCCTCAGTAATTTGTAGGCTTCAAGTATTGCTTGTAAAATTATACAGAAGACACATACTTACTATGACAAAATATTTTGTTAGTCTGAATAGTTGCTTCAGACGTGAAATGAAACACACATAGGATGTTGAATAAAAACTAATTTCCTATATTGATTTTAATTCACTGATAAGTTGGTAGTCGTTTAGTATAAAAATAACACGTTAAAATTAATTTTAGCAATGAAAACTTAACAAGACACCAATTTATCTTTGACAGTTATGTTATGTTTTATATTCTTGTTAAATATTACAGCAAAATGAGTAGTCTATTGTAAATAAATTTAAAAATTGATTATTTGGTGAGTAGGAAAGAAATTCTGAAACGTAAAAGCACTCTCAGTGTATGACGTTTAAGCTATTCCGAAATTGGAGAATGTTTGTTGTAGTTTGAAATGGTCTTGAGGTACTTTCAGTTGACTCGAACCATTCTCCCTTTATAGTCCGCCGAGTCAACTCTTTTGCTTTGTCCCTACATGAAATAAAGTGGCTGTCTTTCCTCTCATGTTGTGGGGAGAGCTGGCTGCAAGCCAAAATTGTAGACAACAGTTTACGTCAATGTTCACGTCCCGAATCAGGGCCCTGAGAAAAACGGTAACAAAGCTCAACCTTGAGAAATTCATCAGACAATCACAGCGAAGTTAAGGTGTGGAATTATGACTCACAGATATATGGCTTGATTTTCTGAGGAACGGCAACAAAGCGATAACAGAACAACCTTAAGCAAGAAGACAACCAATCAGAAGAAGTTGCTTCTCCGCTAACAATAATGTACATGCAAATCTATAAATATCTGTTGATTTTCACAATAAACAATCTGTTGCCTGGTCCTTGTCTTCTGTCGTTACAATATTAGCAGCAGGAAAGTTTAAGTAGGTTCGGACGAAGTCACGAGGCCTGATTACCTAATATTCCTCAACTTACATCAGGAATTAGAGGACATTAAACAAGGTAACTGTCTTCCCACTGATACTGTTACCTACCCAGTCCCCAAAGTCTTTCCACCAGCTAACCAAGTCATGAAAGATTTGATATAACTTCTTTATTTTTCATTGGACACTAGTCAGTAACTAGTGTAATGTGTCTAGTCCTTTGTTTAGTGCAGGCAATTCTATCAGTCAAGTTTGCAATGTGAACACATACTAGGTGGTTTGCCATCAAAGTGTACTGTAAATTGTTGGTATTGGATGGTTGGAGTGCCAACTAGCACGAAGCCTAGGTCCAGATCTTCCTATTGATTGCCTCCAAATATCTGATACAAAAGATTCACAGTGCATCGTGATGGCAAGCCTCTAGTATGTGTTCACATTGCAAACTTGACTGACAGAACTCAGTCTGCATCAAACAAAAGGACTAGACACATTACAAGAGTTACTAACTAGTGTCTAATAAGAATATACAATATACTCTTACAGGAAGGAGGTGAATCGTGAGCCCGAATAGCTCAGTGGTAACGTCTGTGACTGTTGCACTGGATGACGTGGGTACGAGTCTTAGAAGGGACATGAGTTCCTTTAAGGTAGCAGGTACGCCTTGCTGACTGATGAGTGCCACCTAGCAAGAAACCTAGTTGGAAAGGTTTCTGCCGATCGCCTTCAACCACCCAATAGTAATAACGTCCTTATATTTCTGGTTCAAACTGATTCATACACCAAAGGTACACTGAAGCATACATTCAAGGAATCTAAAGTCTGTTCAATTCAGTGTAAAAGCATCAGTACGAAATTACAAGTATATGTAGGTGACTTTCATCTACATTACAAGCTTAGAACTAGATTAAAGTCCATGAGGGCTGGCTCCAGTGCACAAGAGTACCTGATTAAGTGTTCTGGTACTGACGGGGAGGTCGCCATTGGTTGTCAAATGTAATGGGAAGAACGGCCAACTCTCCATACACTTTTGCATTTATCATTTGGATGGACCCGCATCAGTGGAACATCCGTACACAGGTAAAAGTCTTAGTTGACCGTCATCTACGTTACAAGCTTAGAACTGGATTAAAGTTGAAAAAAACACCAGTAGATGCAGCTCAAGACTTCCATGCATTTCTTAACACTTCCCCGAATGCTAAATTTGAAACCAATCTATCGACATGAGGTAATAAATATCACAGCAAGATTGCTCGTGGTTACTTCGGGAAAAAAGTTGTGTAGAAATGTTTATGTTTATATGGGTGTTAGTTTACGCCTAGAATGTCTGAATGATGTCGTCACATTTTGAAGAGACTTTCACATAAAGGCAACCAACAGCTACATTAGAAGTTATCCTCCATTAGATAAATTTTGTGCACTTTCAAGTTAAGCTTCACCTAGCAGAGACAATGGCATTGTTTTTTGTAAATTTTACCTGCATATTATTTTGCTAGTTGATAAAATAAAGTAGGAAAACTTTACGTCACAGAAGAAAAGTTGAAAATCGGAAGGAAATATCTCTTGAATTAGACATTAGTGTTTCAGAATTTTTGGCAAAATAGGATTTTGTTTTGATAACAAAATCTGTCGAAAAACACCTAGACAATCAGTCAATGATTAACTCTTTTCGGCTAGAATTCAACATTTTGTTTTGTTGTCGACCGTAACTGAATAAAGTCAGGTGTTTTCAGTTGAGTGAAATAATTTCAAATATTTTTTTGATGCTTGCGATATAACAAAGCCGTATATGTTTGTTGATGTGAATAGTATCTTGTGTAAAAAAAAGGATCTATAGTGTATAACGGAAAGAGATGTGATGGGGAGTAATTATGAGGTAAGGTTTGATAACCCTGAAGTATGATCTGCAATATGTGATGACCTTCTACTGAGGAAGTAACGAGAACATAATGAACGAACTTCCATATTTTACGAGTTGATCACGGACTGATATCAGTTAGAGAATCCTTGAAAATCAGGGAGTACTGGACAGCTGCCGTTTCATCCTAGTTTGGGAATCATCGGCAGTACGCACCCACTGGGATTCGAACCCGGGACCTTCCGTATCTTATTTTTGAATTTTATTCCTTCAAGTCCCTAGTGGGACATTGAGCTTGAAGCTAGAGCTTTGAAGTTTAGCTAGCACTGAAGTTCGTTTCCACAGGATGTGGTTGCTAGCCTCATGCCCAGGCTTTCCTCTTTACTGGTCTTATTACTGGCTTAGCGAGGTTTAGGAGTGCGTCGGCCAGGAGTCGAACCCTGGACCACATGAGGGGTGGCTGGCGAGAATTATACCAACCTACCGCGGACGTCGAACTTCGATATGTCTAATCCATGTATCAATACATGCACATTCACTTTCTCTGTTTCAAATAAAATTGGTATTACGAAAGTACGACAAATGATAATATCACGAAAATTGCATTCATACTATTTGAAATAAATTTGGATGAAGTTTAACAAGATCACTGACAGAAACATGCTATCTATCTTGTCTTTAAAAAAATCGATTTAAATTATAACATGATAATTGAAAAACATAAACTTCAGCATACAACATGATTAATGGATTCCCTTCTTTGTTTAGTCATCAGAAACAAATGACAGAAAATTTCTGAATCATTCAACTTTGACGATGCTTTGAAAAACAGTGAAGTTTAAGGCTGTTAAAACTGTCATGGTCATTTGCAATTGTTTATCATAGTTTTTAAGCAAACTGATAACTGAATGGTAGTTAGAATTTTTTTCCATCCCCAATAATGAATCTTATAGTATCAGTTGTATACGTCATACGATCACTCAGTTATGTTGCACGAGACAGACTTTTGTACTGTGGTCTGATATTTAGCACTGGAAAGAGCCAATTACTAGGAATCCACGGACCGTGTTGCTTTTAATTATAAGAGAAGGCAGGACATCCAAAGACTTGGAAAAACGCATATCACCTGCAAAGTATACACTCGCATTGCTTATCACGGAAGTCATTAAATTGAATTCTAAGCTGTTTTAGTTGCTGTTGAATCTTTACGGGTGATGAATTATACGTATTTGGTCTGTTTGTCAGCTATGTCTGAGATTTTATGGATTTTCTTCGCTTATTGCGAAAAAACTGACCAGCGATTAGTTGTGTTCGCGTCTTGATGATAGTACTGAAACAGTGAAGAGGAACAATGCCTCCAGCTGACTGTTTCGTTCAAGGAAAACGGGCTTCAAATTAGGTTACATGATTATTCAGATAATTTTTGTCAAAAATATTTCTGTAAGCAATATTGATGATAAGGCTTTCAAGGTAAAATTGGTCGATTGTACAATCAATGGTGATTTCACAACAGTTTAAATTTGGAAAGAAATATCAATTGATTTCGCGGATAATTTATGTTTAATGTCACACAAACTCGAAGACTTGCAGTCGAGAACCAACAAACTGGCTGAAAAAGCAGGCAGTGAAGGTAAGACTCCAAGTGAACATAGAGAAGATGGAGGTGATGAAGATAACCAACCAATCAGCAGCAACAATAACCGGCACCAATCACCATCAACGGGAGTGATTTGACAGAGATTACTTCCTCCACTTATCTAGAAGGCATCATTTCAACTACAGGCACACAGAACCAATGAAGATGTCAAAACCAGCCAGCCAGAATCGGAAAAGCAAGATACGCCTTCATCCACGGGAAACCAGTTTGGAAATCTGCTTCAGACAGCAATGTTAAATTAGTAAGTTCTTCTACATGGATCAGAAACTTAGTATGCCCATCCCCAAAAGCATTTGCAACAAGTTACGGACTTTTATCAACAGCTGCCAACTTCGCTCTCCGAGTACTGAAGATCGAATGGCCAGTGACAAGGAGTCAGCAACAAGAGACTATGGGGACAAGCTTACAAAGAATCTATCATACAACACATATGAAGGAGAAAATGGAGATGGGTCGGACATAGATTGAGGAGACCGTCAAATGGCATCGCGCGCAATGCAGGCCATCGGTCGAGTAGAATCCCAATGGGAATTGACAAGTAGGTTGTCTGTGCTAGGGTGACATGGAAAAGACCATGTGAGGAGGAGACGAGAGATTATGGGTAATCATAGACCCAGTTGAAGAGGACAGCAGAGAATAGAAAAAAGTGGAGATGTCTCGCTGGTGCCCTATGTTCCACTCGGGACCCAAAGGAACAATAATAATAATCAGTTGAAAACGGGAATTTTTACATAGCTAATTTATATAGAGTTTTTGCATTGAATCTGTCCTTCTTTGTTTCCTCGGTTATTCACATCCTTTTGGCTGTCAATCGATTTCCCCATAATTCCGCATTTTCTTTTATTAATTTATTAAGTTATGCAATTCATCATTAACAAGCGTTTAAACTGTAGCTTATTTATTTGTCTTCTCTTGTCGTAATGAAACTTCCCCTAAGACAAAATACGATGAATTATGGAATACTTTTTGAAGTAATAAAATGAAGCATATAAAAATATAAGCCCTACTGAATAATTAATAACAAGTTGATATTCTTTATATGATGTGATCATAAGTTCCTTATTTTTTACTTTTGGAAAAATCATAAGTATGCTCCTAATTTACAAAGAATATAATGCCTCACATTGATACTTACAAATTCAGCATATTTCATTTTCCAGTCAAAATCACAAAAATAATTAACGTTGTATTCGATCACTTGGCGATATATTTGAGGCAGAAAATATGAAATATAGCTAAAGGATTAAGTTGAAAGCTTATCTTATGCATAAACTTCAGTGAATTTTCCTTTGCGAACGTTTTTTTAACGAAACTAGAGACAAATTTGAAGACTCTGATTCATTAGAGAAGTTGAAAATTGAACATATGTTGTCGGATGTATTATTTATTATTTATTTATTCCTTTACGTTCCCAGTGGAACATAGGGCTTCAAGCTAGAGGCTTGAAGTTTCGGTAGCAGTGGTGTTTATTTTTACAGGATGGGATTGCTAGCCTCATGTCCAGTCTTTCCTCCTTACCAGTCTTATTACCGACTTAGTGAGGTGAAGGAGTGCGTTATCCAGGGATCGATCCCCGAACCACCTGCGTAGTTGGCGAGCATTCTACCGCTGTGCCAGCGACGCTCTATTATTGGATGTAGGTAATGTCATGCGTGGAAGACCATTGGAACTCTCTGAAGGTGATTTTCAGCGAAACGTGTTCAACGGTTTTAGGAAGAAAGAACAGACAAGGCAAGGATTAGCTCTCAACGGACACTTGGAAGCTAATAGAGGAGAGGAGAACGGTGAAAGAGAAAATGATTCAATGCAAAGACGGACAATGTGGACTGGATTATGCGTCAGACAGTGGGAAACGAGAAGACAGGGATATCCTGGACCGACGTGAAGAACCTAGAAGACCTGGATTTTGCGGATGATTTATATTTGATGTCATGCAAAATCAAAGACTTACAGGCGAAAACCGACAAACTGGTGGAAGAAGCAACGAAGACTGGATTCCAGGTGAACATAGACAACAACCAACCAACAACAACAGCAGCAACATCCAGCGCCAATTACCATCAACGGGAAGGATTTGGAAGAGGTTACATCATTCACTTATCTAGGGAGCATTGTCTCAACTACAGGAGGAACGGACGAGGATGTCAAATCAAGAATCGAAAAGGCGAGAAACACATTCATCAACCTGAAACCAATCTGCAAATCTTCGTCACTCAACTCAGCACCAACAACAAAATTCGGATTTTCAATACAAACGTCAAGTCAGTCAGTTCTTCTATACGGATCAGAAACTTGGCAGCGGGTCACAAAGAATATTTCCAACAGCCTGTTGCAGACGTTTATCAACAGCTGTCTTCGCTCTATACTGAAGATCAAATGGCCGGAAAGAATCACCGACAAGAAACTATGGGAAGAAACAAAACAAGAACCAATCGCCCAACAAATATGCAGGAGAAAATGGAGATGGATTGAACACTCGCTGAGGAGGCCGCTGGGTGACATCGTGCATCAGGCCCTCGAGTGGAACCCGAAAGGGAAGCAGCGAGTGGGACGTCCAAGGGTGACATGGAGGAGATCGTGTGAAGAGGAGTTGAAACATTATGGATTAACATGGATGCAGGTGGAGACGTGCAGTTGAAGCCCTATGTTCCACTAGGAACCCAAGGGAACAATAATAATATAATAATGTCAACCTCATGTGGTTTACCAAGAGTATTTTCATTATTACTAACAGCTAAACAATCACCCCCAGAATACAGAACAACATGACACTTCATGATAAAAGCATTCATAGCTCGAAATTCTGCATAAATACACAACAGTTGTGGTTAGGTTTTTAGTTCCAAAGTAGACAAGATATCTCTCAATTTCAAATGAAACAACCTATCACAGTTTAAGGGTTGAAAAAATTGAAACATCTTTAAACCAAGGGTGAATTATCTTAGCCACAATTTGTAAACCTAAATTAGAAGACTTCACTATGTTGAATGTACTGTAAAAATAGTAAATCTAATTATTATAGCTGCTGGAAAAAATTCACAACTTTATCTTATAGTGATAGGTACACTTTTCTGAATCTGGCTGTGTTTAATTTTTCATAATTGTACTTTTTTAAACAGTTGGTAAGATTTCCTCTTTTCAGTAAACCACTTGACCATTACTATAGTTACTTTACCCTTAGTGGGAGAACATTTCTCTCTATCTTCAGTTTCACGCCGAAAGTACTTCACTGCTCTATGTTTGTCGGTGAAGAGCAGGGAAATTCAGGATGAAAGCTCTACATCAAAGTTTTTTACCACTTACCAATTTAAAAGTATGATTTATACACCGTTAAAGGCAAAATGACCAGTTCCTACAAGTCCAGAGTGATTTTTGTCAAAAAATGACCAACCCAGCCCTGTAAACGAGCCGTGGAAACCATACAATATTCAATTATAATGAGACGATGCGATGCCAGACTTTAAAATTTCCACTTGACTACATTAACTGAGTCTTTTCTCAAGTATGCTCTGTCTATGTTTTATATTAAAAAGAAAATCTTCCATTGCTAGGGTGATTGTTTAAAATAGCCTTGGACAGGCAGACTGATAACCGTAAGTGACTAGAGGTGAAATGAAAATGCTTGACTACCTGAGTTAATAGATCCAGCTCCTAGTCAGGTAACTATTTCATCTCAGTCATAAAAAAGAAAAGAAGGCGTTCAGCGAAGAGACTCTTTTCGGCGAATTCATTCACTGAGCTATACAATCGCATATTTATACAATTTTGTTTGTGTGTGTGTACATTAGATTTATAAAGTTTAGATAATTATGTAATATAAGTGTTTTTTGGCTAGAAAACAAACGTTAAGATGGAAAATAAAATAGAATTGATTACGCGAGTAGAATTCAGATTAGGTCAGGTTGGCAACAGTGTTAATGAGTGCTGTTTAAAATCAAATAAGGGTGGGGTTAAAGAATAATACAGTTGAAAAGAAGTAAGTTAATCGGATGACTTAATGCAGTTGACTAGAAATTGGACGTGGGTCAAGTTAGTAACGTTATTAATAAGGGTAGAGATTACAAAAGGGTGGGTAGAGAATAATATAAGTGAAGATGTGAAATAATAAAATGCAAGAGACAAAATAATACAATTAGTAAGACTGAAATTAAGAAAGATTACGTCCATTGTAGATTTAATGAATGAACGAATTTCTTTTGTATGCAGAGTTCAGGATTTAGCAGATGAATTGCCATAGCTTCTGCGATGTGGAGAAGTTTGATCCGTACACTTTTAGCAAGGTTGCCTTGTATTCTGTAGATAACTTTGAAGTTCACTTGGGGTTTGATTTGGTGTTCAGATTCAATCAAATGTTCAAGGATCGAGCTGTGGGGGCATCGGTTTTCTCCTTTATAAAACCATGAAGGTAAATGTTCGTTGACGCGTTTGGATAGCGAACGCTGAGTACGGCCAATATACCTGTCTCCACAGGAGCAGGTGAATTGGTAGGTGCACATAGATGAGGCCAGCAGCGGTAGCTTATCCTTCACGGACATACGAAACATTGGTCTCGCGGAAAAACGTCAGTCGTAATTCAGCTGCAACGAAAGTTTTCTTCAATGAGTGGGAGAGCCGATTTCTCAGTATTTCTGTAGATTGGTCTCCATTGAACTGTAGGTTCATATAGAGAAGTCTTTTTGGAGCACTCATCTCAGTCATCGTGTGTTTCGCACGTCATGTGAATGAGTGACATATCACTATTCATTCGTCATCATCACACTGTGAGAGCAGAAGACCTCCTTTTAAGTTCTAGTGAATAAGACGAGAGGAAGAGAACGACTGCCTGTTGACTTGAATATTTTAGTAATTCCCCTAGTGTTTTGATATTGTATCAAATAGTTCCATAACATATTGCATTAGAATTGCTCACTAGAATCACACAGAAGTGATCTTATCCTACAGGTAATTCTTGATAAAATTCGTGAAATGCAGGGAAGTGAAGCTAAATGAATCTTTTATACTCAAGGGACAACATGCAAAACGATAACAACGATTTTGAACAATGATAGTGAAAATGTATCATTTGGTAAACAGGAAATAGGAATAAAGTA